GGGGGGGGGGGGGGGGACGAAGCGCGGGTTAAAGTTCTGTGTTGTGGGGGCTCTGAGAGGACGGAACATTGACCGCGCCCTTTGCTGAAGGGGAGGGGGGAATGTGGAAGGAACGCCGCATCGAGTTTGTGACCCACCCGGTTCCCGCTCGCGCCGCGCGCTGCCGGGCGTCTGTGCATGGTAAGGAGAGGGCAGTGGTGTGTACTGCAGTGACCGGAGCATGGTATTCGGTCACGGAGGCAAGGAACATCTCTCGCAGCACCCTTGTCCGCAGATGCACAGACTAGCGAGCGGCTTCCTTTGACACAGAATTATCTCGTGCAGCACCGAGCTTGAGGACTTGAGGAGAACGAGCTTGAGAACAAAGTGGATGCGTCCGGGTTGGTGATTGAGAGCAGGACAGCGCTGCGCCGAGCCCACCTCCCCTCCCACCGTCTGCGTCCCGCGAATGTCCCCTGGCAGAGCGGTGAAGCTCTGTCCGTTGGCAGGCTGAAGCTGAAGGTGGAGAACACCATGCGCTGGCGCACCGTGTTCGACAACGAGGGCAACGACCTGAAGGAGAGCAACGCCAAGATGGTGCGCTGGTCCGACGGCAGCATGTCGCTCTACCTCGGATCGGAGATCTTCGACGTGTACAAGCAGCCGCTGCAGGTGAGAGCCGTCTCCTGGAGCCGGGCGGGGCCGCTTCAGCGGGTGGCTGCTTCTTGCTGTCCTCCTTGCCGTACAAGCTTGCAGTACCGCGAGTGACGTCAGGGCCGTTTTCCACGGCCAGCTTGCAGGAGGTTGGACTCTGTCGTTGGATGATCAGAACGGTATAGTTTGCTCCCCGTTGGCTCTGTGCGACTACTGACGTGCTCGATGGCGGGCAGAGTAAACCGTGGCGTCCTGTTTCGCATGGATGGGACGGGGGGTGACAGTGACGACGCCTGTGTTCGTTGTCGAGCCGATCCATTGTTCCCGTTTGTTTTGGTAGTCACAGCCACGGTTGGTATCGCTGCATGACGTTATGTTTCCACTTAGTCCATGCGCCCGCACACCCTGTCGAAAGTCACCCCGTCCTATCGTTTCGTCACTGGCTGTTGTGCACAGGACGATGTCCGTGGTTGTGACGGACATGCTGACGTCAGAGGTGTGTGTCACCCTGCTCCGTGGGAGGCAGTGTACATTACAGACAGGCCAGCTCCAGCTCCAGCTCCAGCTCCAGCTCCAGCTCCAGGTCCAGCTCCAGCTCCAGCTCCAGCTCCAGCTCCGGCTTCAGCTTCAGCCGCACCGGGTCCGCGCCCACCGCCTCTGACGCCCGCCTCGCCCCTCCCGCAGGGCGACCACAACCACCTGTTCATACCGCCAGGGCACCGGCCTGCAGGGCCAGGCCGTGTTCCGCACGAAGCTGTCGTTCCGGCCGCACTCGACCGATTCGTTCACGCACCGCAAGATTGACTCGCTCCATCGCCGACCGCTCGCACAAGACGCCCGGCGTCAAGGTGCTCACCAGCGTCGGCCAGAACCCCGAGATGAACCGCTCGCAGATGATCAAGGTGAGAGTCTGACGACGGACGACCTCCGCGCGCTGCTGGACCGGCGGCGGCGGCGGCAGGCGCTGGGCTGGGCGACGCTGTGGTGGGGTGGCTCGGGGGTGAAGTATGTGGTGTTGTTGGGTGTCGTTGTCATTTTCTTTCGTATGGTGTCCTCAGTCCCAGCTTGATGCTCGCTGGTCGTGTCATGACAGGACGTACGCGCTCGGGACGGGTGTAATGACTGTAGTCGGTTAGGATAACGCCCTTGCCTTCGTTTCGCTGGTTCGGGCGCCGAATTGCCCGTAAAGAACTGGCCCTCTGGCCATCGTGTCCTGTGTTCTTTTGGGTGCATGTGAACTTATACCTCCACTTTCTGAGTGTGACCAATCAACGTATCACAGTTAAGTGTGGTGCCAGGCAGAGGGTGACGCGTGCTTCCCGGCACACCGGGGCTGGACGTGCCGCGTCAATGAGCGCCGTCAGCGCCGTACATGCCTGTGCGTGACGTCCTTGCTGGCGCGTTCCAACCATCTCGATCGTGTGGTTTGCGCTTTGTTATTCTTATTTACGATTGGTGACATCAGCGTGTGTTCAGCGTGCCCGACACGTGCGCCTGTCCCCGACAATCGCTCCGACACGTGTGCCTGTCCCAGACATCGCCCTCCGACACGTGCGCCTGTCCCCCGACATCGCCTCCAATACGCCTGTGCTGTCCCCTATATCGCCTCCGACACGTGCGCCTGTCCCCTACATCGCCTCCGACACGCCTGTGCTGTCCGCCCGTGTCCGCCGTCAGCCGCCCTGTCCGCCCCGTGTCCGCCGTCAGCCGCCCGCCCTTTCCGCCCCTGTCCGCCGTCAGCCGCCCCCGCCCTGTCCGCCCCTGTCCGCCCGTCAGCCGCCCGCCCTGTCCGCCCCTGTCCGCCGTCAGCCGCCCGCCCTGTCCGCCCCTGTCCGCCGTCAGCCGCCCTGTCCGCCCCTGTCCGCCGGCGCGTGACGTGTCCGCCTGTGCCGCCAGCAAGAGGAGATCCGCTTGCGGGCGTCGGTGCGGCGGGACGCGCAGCGGCGCCGCGTCAAGGAGCGCTCCTCGCGTGGCCTCACCGCCAGCTACCTGGAGCCGGACGGCGAGGGCGCCGACTCTGGCGACGAGACCTCCATCCTGGCCATCAAAAAGAAGGCCAAAGGTCCGTGTTGCCGACTGCTCAGTTGCTTTGTGTTGTGCACTGAGCGTTGGAGATTGAGGTTTTATTTCGTGGTGGTCGGCGTCATTGCACTGAATATGCCCGATGTGTGTACTTTAGTTTGCTGGCAGTTGTGTGAATAGTTTCATTAAACGGACATTGCTGCTCGCCCTGTTTTTATTGGCGTGGGAGCTGTCGGTATTGGTATCTGACCTATCAATGGCTTGTGTATTTATGCGGTGTCGAGGTAGTTGCGTTTGTGCCATATCCCCGTGATCACTTTAGCAGCACGCGAACCGCGCGCGGGCGCGTGCGATCGTGGCCTGGAAGTGACTTTGTGCGCATGCCCGACAGAGGCTCTCCGCGCGCCCATCTACTCCTCGGACGAGGACGGCTCCGACATCGAGACAAGTCGCGCGCGCAAGCTGGAGCGCGCCAAAAAGGCCATCGAAGAGAGCGACGAGGAGGGCGGCGCGGCGGCCGCCAAGTCGGGCGGCTCCGGCTCCGGCTCCGGGTCTGGCTCGGGCTCCGGGTCCGGCTCCGGCTCTGGGTCTGGCTCGGGCTCGGGGTCGGGCTCGGGATCAGGCAGCGGCAGGTGACAGTGATTGAGTGAGTGTCCGTTCCCGGGCATGATAGCATCACGTGACGCCACGCTTGCTGGGGCGCTGGCGAGAACGCAGCTGGGACATGCGCAGCGGACCAGAGATCCGAAGTGATGCGCGTGTGACGATGTCGGGTGCGACTTGAAAAGCAACAAAGAGTGGCGTCGGAGAGATGAGAAAGTGAAGCCAGCGCGTGGATCACCCTGGCCAAGCAGCGCCGCTCCCGGCGAAGCCACTGGGTGTCCTTTCCTGGTTATACGTGGCTGACTTATTTGCCCACTGCAGTCCTCCACTTCGTCGTGTACATCGTCGGATACGCCGAAACAAAAATAACGGGAGCTTTTGTGCCCACGATGGTGTGTCAGTCATTGGCATTGTGCTCATAATTTGCAGGTTGAGAACATGCGAAGCGCGCGTAGTGAGCGAAGTGTAGTGAGTGATGGAGAATAAGCCTTCATTTCACCCATTTTGTTGCCGACTCTTTGCCTTCACGCGCGGGATCGCCGTGCTGGCACGGTCGCTGTGACCGTGTGCTGTACTGTTGCGTACCAGGCTCCTGTTTTCGCCTGCGCACGAGACGATCGGTTCGCCTCCCCAGCGGCGTACGCGGCCGTCCGGGGTAGTGGTGGAGCCCTGATGTCTTTTGTGCGAGGTCGCCGGACAGCGGGGCGGAGATGCTAGCCGTTGCTGCCGAAGCCAGGCATTAGCTGCATCAGTCGAAGCTGAAAATCTGTTATCATTAAATCCTAGCAATGTCAGACATACACTTTGGAGGCTTGTGTTCAATAGTTGCACGACGTTTACTTGTGACCGTGAGCGCTGCCTTGAACGTGGAGCCCACTTATAGCGTATCTCAAGGCTGCTTGGTATCATTGGACCAGTACCTTCTGATTCACTTAAAGGGAATGTTTCACATTTAAAAATATTGGTGAAAGCATCATATATGATGAAACAAGCTAACTTATGACTATCGGTAAACTTTAATGGAAAGGACTGCTCAAGACAACACAAGTTCTCTGGCACGTATGTTCCTCGCTACGTCATTGGTGGATTGCAGCACCGGATGTTAACGACATAACCATTATGTTTTTCTTGGCCTTGATCACTGCATTACTTGCGGAACCACAGGCTTTGAATGACGTTATTATGACGTCGAGAATGCCAATGTGACCTTGAAATACTCTCCCACACCTTTGATGCCTCTAAGGTCAGGAACCATTGGGTTTTAAGTCTTAAAAAGGGCATGGCCGTGAGCTGCTCTGAAGTCTTCGATACGGCCATTTCAGTTCAAAACTCCATACCAATATGGAATACTCCTTTTAAGTCCGTTATTTTCAGCATAAGAAAGAATTCTGCCCGGTTCTCACATCCTTGAGAGCATGTTTGTGCAGGGAAGACATCAGTCCACCATTCTGACTAACGTAACTGAGATTACGTCACGTCTGAAACATGTGACGCACTCTCCACAAAATTGGGTTTCCCGGGATGGGCTTCGTCGCCGGTCGCCTCCGACAAATTCGGATTCCAGCCATTGGAACGTAATCGGGCATTTTGACTGCTCACATTGACGCACAGGTGAAAAATATTAAGTGCCGTCCAACCCAATGACTTCAGTGTTTCACCCGCGAATAATGTTGTACATGTTTTAGCCACCCCGTAGCAGATCCCAAACACGGCAAACTGCGGAGCATGCCCCACTAGAAACACTGACTCTGGTGGCTTTATGACGTTTAGTCGGCGTTAAACATTGTTAGAAAAATACAAAGCTTATACACAGTGACGACGAACCTCGTACACAGTCTCTTTTTGATGTGCATGACCAGACGTGAGGTCACTAACTGGTAGTTCAACGACTTCGCGGCTTGGGCAGCTATACATACTTGGACAAGATGACCATTGGTCCCAGGCACATTTGGCACATTCCTAATGCAATCACCCCGCAGCGAATCCAGACAGATCCAGTACACACCAAAAAAGTGTCTCTGTGCATGTAAAAAACGACCTTTCACTTCCCGGCTATCAAAACGACGAAGTAGCTAAATGATACACGGCCTGACGACATTATCTTATGAAAGATGTAAACCGGACCCAAGTCGGTGGACACCCGCGCACAGGATAACTACTGGCTCTGGAAAACCGACAGCGAAGCCGGGCCATCAGAGCCCAACGGAGACGTGACCATCAGGCTACATCTGGTTACCTGCCGCGGCACACACAGCCAGTCTGAGACTCCTGAAGGCACTGGTCGCGCTGCGTGGCCGACCCAGCATGGGCGTCAAAGTAATGCGACGTTATCGGGTCACAGTGACGTCACAGCACCGTTGCATTACTCCGCCAACACCACGTCATCCCGACAGCGTGACGTCACCCCGCTGGGCGCCGTTACGCCTCCAGCGACTGACGGCTGGGCTTCACGTTCTTCGTGAACATGTAGACGCCGACGCGCACGCCGGCGAACATCGGCTTGTGGATGTAGTTGAGGATCTGGAAGCCGCGGTTGTAAAACATACTTTTGGCGGCGTCGTTGCACTCCGTCGTCTGCAGGCGCACGTTGGACAGGCCGGCGTCGCCGCAGAACCGACAGGCCACGTCCAGCATCTTGGTGCCAATGCCGTGGCCGCGATGCGACTTCGCCACCGACATGCGCTGCAGCCACGCGCCCTGTGGGTCGTCGCGATTCTTACGCACGCCGCACGTGCCGACGACGACGCGGCGCAGCCCTTTGAGGTCCGTCTGGTACTTCTCCACGTCCTGCGGCGACACGAACGTCAGCTGGAAGCGCGCCGCCGGCCCGGTGATGGGCTCGTACAGCTCCGCCACCCAGAAGTTGGTGCGCTTCAACGACTGGTACGTGTCGGGGATGTTGCTGACGTCGCTCTGCGAGGCGATGACCTTGATCTGGTGCGCCGCCCAGATGGCCGCCAGCACGAACGCGAAGAAGGCGGGCACGGTCATCAGGCAGAGGTCGCCCGGCACGCCGAACACCACGAACAGCACCGCCTGCGCGGCGATCAGCAGCTCCCAGAACGTCTCGCGGAAGAGCGCCGCCGTGAAGAAGGACCACACCGTACTGAGCGCCGCATCCGACACGAGCGTCTTCACAGCCAGCGCATCGCGCGGCTCGAACGGTCGGACGCAGCACAGGTAGTTGGGCAGAGGAGCAGTGGTCTCGGCCATTGCAGCTGGCGGGGTGGCTGGTCAGAAGCAGAACCTGTAAATGGCTTTGGCTTTATGAGTTGTTTGAGTTGTGAGGCTCTAAAACAAAATCATGCATGCATGTCAGGTGATCTGTTTCATGCAAATTCCCCCTGATGAGTATTGGTGCCAAGCTTACCAGTTGCCATAGCTTGTGGTACAGTATTTAGTATTAGTATTACTTATTATTATTTTATTATTACTTATTATTATCACAGTATTATTTTATTAGTATTATTCACTTCTTATTACTTATCATTATTTATCATTATTTATTACTTTATAGTGTTACTATATTATTATTAGTATTACTTCTCAGCATGGCCTTCTAGCTCTTTACAGTAATATTTGGATGCAGAAGTGTCCTAAGCCCCTTGCCCCCACAAAATTGGCCTCTCAAATAATCATACAGTAGCTTAAGGACATGTTTCATCCCTGAAGGCATTTAAGCAAGCATCAGGTGTAATAAGATAACCTCACTTATATCTGTTGGTATACTTCTACATGATGAAGACTGCTTTCAACAAAACAATTTCTCTGTTCAGTAAATAAGCTCCTCAATGCCTTATTGCTGGATTATGTCATCACACTAGGCACCACATTGGCTGAGAGCCAATTAATGACCAATTTGTCTGGAAATCATGCTCACAAACATGAACAGCTCATTCAACAACCATATTTTTCTTGGTCTTGATTGTGGCACAACTAATGGAATGGCCAGATCTTAATGATACTACTAGGGCATCATGGATACCTGGATGACCTTGAAATGGTACTCACAAAATAGTCTGCACATCTTTAAGGCATGTAGCTCAGAAACTAGAGCAGTGTAGGTCTTAAGAAGAGCAGGACTGTATGCCATACTGAATGATCTTCAAGATGGCTATTTCAGTCAGAACCCCAGTACAAATATCAACCACTCCCTTCAAGATATTGTGACTCTAGGACAAACACACAGCTCATCAACCACAAAGTCTCAAATATATTGTGCCCAATCAATTAAGGCCTTCAGGAAAAACTAAAAAAAGATGAACCTTTCCATGTGTGACAACCAGAATACCCCAGAATAATAATATACCCAGAATACCCAGAATAAATATAGAATAACATTTAGTAGACAGTCTGGTTTGCTCAAAAGGAGCAAAACAGGGAAATAATGATTGCTGCATATGGATTCTAGGACACTCTTTAAGCTCAAGATCCTGTTTTGATGCCTAAGAGGACCATTATTTAGTCTTAGGAGCACAGAGACACTCTAAATTGCTAACAAGCACTCAGTATTTCAGTTCTGGGGAAATTTCTACCACATCAAAGGGAAGGGGGTGGAGGTGGCCCTTAACAGACTCATTGGCCCTGCCATTGCTGGCAGCAAATAACATGACAGGTCATTTCCATAGGGATCAAAGCCATTAATGCATCACAATCAATGACATGCCCTACATCAACACAGTGATCTGTGAAATACAATTAACAAAATGCCAATTTATTTATGCATAACAAAAAGTGGTAGGGACAGTGCAAGAGTGAAATATCCTTAAGTTTATATTATTCACAACCAGCCCTTGACATTTGCCGCCACAATATTTTTCTAACGATACAAAATACCTAAACAACAGTATGAAAACGGGCCTCACCTTTCAAAGCGTGAACGATTCACGCAATTGGATCACCAAGATTAAAGCGCGTGAACGCCCCAACCTTCAGCACCACCACCACCACTCCAGACTACCACAAAGAACCCGCCCTGAACAGCTCGTAACGGACGCCAGACGTCACGTCACAGAAGCGCGTCATTGAGCTAAGCTACGTGCTACCATATAATCGTTTTCCCCATGAGCACGTTCGACCGAGGGAAAAATACTCAACGACTTAACACGTCCGTCAAGTTGGCAACTGAATGTGAATGTAAATCTGAATGTGAATATAAATCTGAATGTGAATGTGGTGCCAACTTGACGGACGTAATCTGAATATGAATGTGGTGCCAACTTGACGGACGTTTGGGACGTGTTGGGTTTCCCTCCATAAAGAGCCATATGGAAGGGATATGGCAGCGTGCTGTTTTTGATATCTATTGTGACGCAGAGCATTCATTTTCTGCGGTGCGCATCCATCGTGAGGTGGCGGTGCTCCGTGTCCGCAGTGGCGTTCTGTGCAAGTGTATTGTGTGTCAATTGCGCCTGCCACAGGTAAGGTATCTATGCTGTTGGATTTTTTGCGGTTCGGTGTGTGAGATTCTTTACTGACAGCCACAGCCATGAGAAGGCTGCACATTTGTATTGGCCTAGAAATTTTGAACTTGGGGTCTCACGGCCAACACTGATGGTTTTGTTAACCGCACCTTACCTTACCTTACCCTACCTTATGGTGATAGAGAATTATAGAAGTTCACTAACCCTGTCGGTCCCGGTCTTGTCGGGTCCCTGGTCTGGTGACCAAACAGTCTCAAGTTATGGATAGAGTTTGTGTGTATTGTGGGATGTCATGCATGATGCCAGCCCAGTGCATATGGGGCCTGGACTTGAACTGTTCAACTGAGGTTGATGATATGACTGGGTGTAGAAGGATGTTCTAACTGTTGATGACCCAGTGCTAAATGAGTGATGACTGATGAGAGTTTGAGGTTTTCTTAGACCCATTGGTGGTCTCTTGTCACCTCTGAATTGTGTCTTGTCAGGAACTCCACTTCTGACAACATACATCTGTGACACAACTGATACACTGTCACCATGTCTCCCCTGCATTGATGGTAGCACAGGGAGGAGGAGGAAGAGTCAGGCCTCTTGGGGTATGGCTGGTGCCTCACTTCATTGACAAGACCCCTGAGTTATTGCTGAACCTGCTCCAACAGCTCCTGGTCAAATCTGCCCAATGGTTGAATCTGCCAAAGGGGCCTCAGATGACATTGCCATACTTTAAGCATGAGCATACTAAGACCTTGAAGAGCAGTGGCAGCATGTGAACATTGATGTTGGCAAACGACTGTCTCACGACCACCAGCATTTGTTTGGCTTTTGAGATCACTTCAGCTGTCTGCATGTGAAATAAGGGTCTATGATGATCCATGATATGATGATAATATGATAATATGATGATGATATGATAATATGATAAATATGATAATATGACAATGATATGATGGTCTATGTTGATCTATGATCCACGAAGATCCTGAGTTCCTCTTCGGTTAGCCCAATGTGATTTCTCTCCTGTTGAAGAAGCACACCAGTCTCAGGTTGCAGTTCCAGATATGCATTAGTTTGCACTTGGTTGCATTAAAGGGGAGCAGCCACTCCTTAGACCACTCGGCCAGGGTGTGGAGGCCGACCTGCAGAGGTGATTCAGTCGGGGACCTGGGGACACAAGAGTAGATCTTGGTGTCGTCCGTGGACATCTTGACCATGCTTCACACTTGATCTAGTAGGTTGTTTGTGAAGGTTATGAATAGTGGTGGTCCTAGCACTGATCCTTGTAGGATGCTGCAAACAGTGTCGATCTAATCCAACCTCAAGATCTGGAGCTGCACTCTGCATCCGGTGGGTAAGGAAATCCCTGATCCAGCCCGGCAAGGCACTTCTCATACCACAAGCATGGATTTAGGAGAGCAGACGGTTATGAGGCACAGAATCAAAGGCTTTGCTGAAGTCTGGGTATGGCATGTTCACCGCCTCTCCAAGCTCTACTGGGGCACTCCAATCTGTCATAAGGTTTGATGGCTGGGTGATACAGGATCGTTTTGAGAGAACCCACGCTGGGCTGCTTGAAGAACACCAGGGTCCGAAAAGTGATGAACTAACACACCTCTCACAAAAGATTTGAGTGTCTTGGAGGGAATGGCAGTAAGACTTACTGGGTGGTAGCTCACTGGGGACTGTCAGTTACCTTTCTTGAAGACTGGGACTACCTCACCAAGCTCCCACTCCTGGGCAAACCTTCTGAATGCCAATTATTTTAGGAAAAAACATGTTTAGGGGTAGTGCCAGGATGTCTGCAGACTCACAAAGTGGCCTTTGGTGCACATCGTCTGGCCCAGGGGTGCTCAAGGTCTTGAGAAGAGTCAATTTCTTTGCCACTGCCTGGGCAGAGATGTTCATGTCATCCAGGAATGGTTCATTGAAGTTGCAAGAGATAACAGGCAGGGCACTAGCTGATTCATTTATGAAAAAGCTGGCGAAAAATTTACTGAGCACATTGGCCTTTGTTTCATTGCTAAATAACACTCCATCATTGCCATGAAGCTCTTCTGTCCTGAATCTTGTGTGTGGTCTTTACTGGGCATGTATTTACGCCATGGCTGTCCCTAACTTTTGTTCAGCTGCGTCGCCCTTGGTTTCATGTACAGGCTCTTTGGCCTAGGCTGTCTCTTGATGGAGCAGACCTCAGTAGCCCAGGCGATTTTCTCTTTGAAGAACTTATAGGCATCTTCAACATTGAGGTTCTCCATCAGGGACCAGTCCATTAACCTGAGGATGTCTGCCAGGTGCTCGTAATTCGTGTGCGTCAGCTCGCGGAGACGAGGAGATTGCAGCCCAGAGTAGCAGACCAAGGTGTACCTGATCAACCACATGGTTGCTGTTTCCAAGCCCAGGCAGGTATTCGATTTTGCTGACCATTCCCTCCTTGTTTGTTAATATGAGGTCCAGGACATTTGTAGCTTCACCCAGCCAGTGGCATGTGGACCGCTGGACATGCTGGAACAAAAAAACCCTGGAGGGTCTCCATCAGTGAGTGGGTTGGGTGGCTCTCTGGAGCTGATGACGGCTCTGTTCCCTGGTCAATCTGAGGCAAGTTAAAATCGCCTACAATCATCAGGTGAGAAAACTGGTCTCTATACACTCTTTGAATAAGGTCTTTCAATTGACACACTGTCTTTGATGTTGCCTGATGGGTTTCTGTGTATGCAGCCAAGTATTTAGGTGTCCTTCCCACTTCAAGCCATTTTCAGCCACACTTGCTCCAGGGTACTTGGCCTAGAGGAGTGTTTTGCTGCATTTAGTAGGTTAGACACATAGACACATATGCCTCTCTCACCACTAGATGGTGCAATGGGAAGCTTCTGGGTTTGGGGAGGTCATTGGTCAAAAGCATGATATCTGGCTTGCTGTCAGAAATAAGCATACACAAGTCATCCATTTCACTGATGAACTGGTCTACATTGGTGTATGATACCTTCAGACCTTGCCTCCCATGCACTGTGCAGCATTATGTAGTCCTTGTGGACCTAAGGAGCCAGGATCAGCCTGAGCATGAGTATAGTAATCCATGAATCCATCCTGAGTGGCTGAGGTTGTTGTGGGCCAGCAGTCCTGCTAGGGTCCCCGGAGCCCCCAGGACCCTGAGTAGGGTGCCCTATAATATCCTCACCAGCAGGGTCCAATACATGGGGGCATCTCACTTGGGTGCCCCTTAAGTTCCCACTCAGGTTAGTCATTGTTGGTCCTGGTGGGAGAATGATGCGGTGCCTCTGGGACCATCAATTGGACAGGCTGCTAGAGGTGTTGATGTTTCATCAATTTGGAGGATAGATGGAGCTGCCATTGGTACAGTAGGATGAACTACACTGGTACCTCTGGGCCTGTCAGGTACTTGTGTTGATGGGCACTCTGCCTGATGACCTTGTCCTGCCTGATCAGTAGGTCGAGCTCACTTGTCTCCCTTCTCCTAGGGTGCATCTCTCAGTTTCTTATCCTTCTCGCTGTCTTTATGGGCTTTGCTGTAGGTCCTAACCATCTGACATTCAGATGATTTATGGCTGAGACTATCAGTTTGACCCTGGCCATGTGTGAAGTTTTATGCTCAGCTGTCCCCATGCCCTTGAACTAGGGATTCATCCAGCAATTTTGACAATATGTGTAAGACTGGAGAAATGAATTGTATGTTGTTTTAGCAGTTTTTATCATTTTTCAGTGTTCAGCTCTCCCCTGCCCTCAACTGATTTTGTGAAACTGTCCCAATGCCTGGCATATAAGGAAATATATATATATATATATATATATATATATATATGTATATATATATATATATATATATATATATATATATATATATATATATATATTCATATGTATATAATACATAATTTGATTTTGACAACAGAGATGAGTAACTTGTTTATTAGTGCATAATTGATGTAAAAAAACAAACTGAAATTGGATGTCATATGATGGGTTTTATGGTTTATATCTCCAGGCTATGTTGGTTTTTCAAACAGCATAGCTGTTTTTAAACTTAAGTACATGATATATTCACAGATTAGACATTCTTGCTCAGCTTCTCTGTAGGGCAGGTGTTCCTTGTCTTAAATCGCCTTGACACATAACAAGTAGACCCCCACATGTTTTGTTGTTCTCTTTTGCACTTGAAAGTCATATGAGTGACCAGTTCATGTCCAAATCTGCATGTGGTCTGATATTCTGGTCCTGCTTATATGTTCCCATTTGTTTACTGTGTGATGTGTTACTGTTTTGTTTCAGTTGTGTGCCATTACAAGGATCAGTCTGAATCATGACGGCTGTACCAAACCCCAGCAGCACTCAGATACTTCCTTTGGGTGAGTTGGCTGCAGATGCAGACTTCAAAACAGGACTGGCCATCACATCATCCAGCATTATTTTGTTGAGTAATGAGATGACAGTGACATGTGCATGTTGAAGTCCAAACTTATGCTCTGTACAGTGCCAAAGCTTTACACAAACATTGCACTAGAAATGTGCTATGTGCTTATTGATTGCAGGCTGATACTAGCTACCTTCAGCTAATGTCTTTTTCTGTAGATGGCGAATAATTCCTTGTGGGACTGCACCCACTAGTCTGGGATTCCACATAACAAGGTGACAAAGTATGCAAAGTGGTCCATTATGAGTGATGACTGATGTGATGCCACCAGTCAAAAGTTAATATTGGAACAAAAATTGCTATTTTTAATGGGTCAAATGGAGTCTGGGGGCATATTCTGGCACCACAGTATTTGCACACCTTGTATCATATCATTGTTAACCTGTGACCAGGTGATGATTTAACTGGTTGGGCTCTAGGTGTATAGATCAGACTTGCAGACAAGCTGTTTACTGGCACTCACCCTCATGAGTGGTTGAATATTCTTTGCTTGCATGGGGAGGGACTCAATCTCACCCCCCCCCCCCCCCGAGGTCTCAGAAACCGAGAAATCTAGAGACACTTAATTCACAGGGTATATTGGCCTGTATGTGAACTCACTTATGTCAAAATTTGATGTTCCTGGGTCACATCCTTCAGGTCAAATAAGGTCAAATGAGGTCGAACTCCAGATTGGTGTCCAAAGTGCCCCCAGAACTTCTCATCAACCACCACAAACCTGGATACATGTTCTAAGTAAAAGGTCACTGGTGCTCATTTAAGGGTGGTGACCTTGTTTGACCTTTGAAAAATTCTGTTGATCAAAAACATGCCAGACTGCTTTGATTCTTGCATTGGAATAACCGTCAAGGCAGCATTAGGCAAAGCATTAGACAGCATGCTCCTGAAAAAATGTGGACTGGTGTCATTTTAGGTCTGACTTATTCTGACCTTTGAGAAATCCATGGAATTTGTAAACTGTGTTTCCTGTTATCAACAAATTCAAAATAAGCACCAGAAACTACCATATACAGCAAGCTCCAGGGTGAATGAAAACAGGTTGGTTTTAGCCCTGGTCCGACCTTCATACCTGAACTTAGGTCAATTGAACTTTTTAATTCAATTTTTTGACACTTAGGGAGTCCATCACAGAGATGTGTGGCTTCATCTAACACCCCATTGTTGCATCAGATTGAACGATTCCCCAGACATTGTCTTTGCTGATTCCATGGCCTGACTGGCCCGCCGTCGATCAGTGATCTTACAAGGTATATCTAAGTATTTGATACCAAACGACCCGGCATTCAGTTGTCTACAGCTGTGCAAAATTTGGCGCGGCTATGCCAAGCCGTTCGGAAATCATTCGGGGAAAACCTTTGGAGCGGTCAAATAGCCTCCCCCCACCCGAGCGTGTGTTAACATTCAGGGATAGGAGCAGTTCTGCATGAGGGCACTTTATCGTGGTTAGAGAAGGTTACAGAGGGAGCAAACGCATCAAATTGCCGGCATCCTCTCCTGATGGCGCTTCTGCATCTCCAGAGCTCGTGGACAAGTGCATCGGGTCCCGGCTACACATCATTATGAAGAACGACAAGGAGATCGTGGGCACACTGTGCGGGTTTGACGACTTTGTCAACATGGTGCTGGAGGACGTGACGGAGTACGAGAGCACGCCCGAGGGCCGGCGCATCACCAAGCTGGAGACCATCCTGCTCAATGGCAACAACATCACCATGGTGAGGGGGCTGCAGCTGAACGAGCACTGTCCTGGGTTGGATCTGCAGTTGTGGGAAAGGTCATGTCAAATACCTAGCAGGGAATGCACATTTCGGGGAACTTCTATTTACTGGGGTAGTTGCTTTCCAGCATCTTCCCAATCACCTTGGAGGTGGCATTTCCATGTGCTGTGGCTGTGGTGTGCTGAAACTGCCTTGTAAATATGAAACTCGCTTTGGTGAATTGGGATTCATGTCTAGCCTAGTGTTCACTCACATCACAGTTAGTACTTTACAACTTCCCCCAACGCTGGACCTCGGGTGGGCAGTGACGGGCATCATTTCTTTTCAGCTGGTGCCTGGTGGTGAGATGCCCGACAACTAAGAAACTCCTGGTGCGCTGGTGTATCATGTTGCATCGAGTCATGTGTGCACACCCATCTCATGTGTTGCAGCCGCCCATTTACGTAAATATATGTTGGTGAACAATAATTTTTCGGCCATGTGTTGAACTGCTCGCATCATTCTTCAGCGCCGGGTTTATGGGATTCCCCAATGGGCCGCTTCGTGTGCAGTATACCGTACAAATAACCACATGATCCGCGAGGCGTGACAAGGCTTTCGATATTGATGGATATATTTTGTATGCTTGTGACGATGAACGACAAAGGGTAACAACGAAATTGTAAAGGTGTGCGACAGACGACAACACAATTGTATAAACGAACAATCAACGAAAACGGTAAAATTGCGACAAATCAACGTGGAATATAACGCAGACGTGTCACAGTCCGTCCGAGTCAGCGCAGTATGCAGGATTGCGTTAGCAGAACGCCGACGGCCAATGACCCGTGTTGTCTAGTTGAAGCATCCAGCGCTCCAGCTCCGCCGCGTCCGGCCTGTTCTCCGCGTGCTGCGCCCAGCAGCGCTCTACCACCTCTCGCCATCTTCCGGCATTGGCGGGCACTTCGGGTTCAGGCCGCCGCCACCGAGCGACCACCACGTAAATGACGACGTCTGCCTCGAGGCTAGCGAACGGCCTGTAGCCGGTGAGCAGCTGCCACGTGCAGACGCCGAATGAGTAGATGTCGGCGCGGCAAGTGGCGCACTCGCCGCGGAACAGCTCGGGCGCCATGTACGGCACCGTGCCGCGCACCCCGCTCTGGGGAACGGATCAGGGCCGACCGATCACGTCAAAACGCAGTCTCCGTTTTTGCATGCCTTGATGGCAGAGTCCCACGCATATGGCGCAGAAAACCATCGGAATGCGTTAGATACAATCCGAAGAGCAAGCATTGGATGCGAATGGCTCCGAACACAAGCTGACAATATTGGTCGAATAATCACCAAAACAAGGTCGGACATGTCCACGAGCGGCGGCTGTTGCTTGGGGAGCCCTCTGACATCACTCACCCCCCTGGCGTCGGGGTCGCCAACGCAGCGCGCGCTGCCGAAGTCTCCCAGCTTGATGTCGCCAGAGTCGGCCACGATGACGTTGGCCGGCTTGACGTCCAGGTGGATGACGCCCTCAGCGTGGCAGTAGGCCAGCGCTGAGACCAGCTGGCTGGCGTACCTGGGGCCGGGCGGCGCGGAGTGGCGTCAGGTGAACACGCGGAGACGCGCGGGCGGCGTCATTGGCGGCTAACGGAGCCGAAGCCGTGTCACTTTGCCATGCTTAACGGAGTAGCTGAACAAAATATATTTGGTGGATAAACCGATCGATAACCGATCGGTAATGGCCAACCCGATCCTTAAAATAGACCCTTAAACCGGGCTTAACAAACTTCTTATCACCTTTTTTACCACCATCGTTTGAGTGGATGGGGAATGGAGCCCCTGACTGAATAGGATGCGTGCCTGATCATGAGCCAGATGAGCACGCACATGGCCTCCTGATGCGCCCGATGGTGTGACATCTCGCACCAAGCGCTACAGCCTCGGCTGCCACTGAAACGGCAGCCGAGGCGGTCGGTGTGCCAGACCGACCCGTCATACTGACGGACCCTCCCACCAAGCGGCAGCGGCCCCTCCCAGCGGGCGGCAACGGCTCCCTTCCACCTGGCGGCGACGGACCGCTCCCAGCGGGCGGGCGTACCCATCCCACCGGGCGGCAGCGGACCTCTCCCACCGGGCGGCGGCGGACCTCTCCCACCGGGCGGCGGCGGACCTCTCCCACCGGGCGGCAGCGGATCTCTCCCACCGGGCGGCAGCGGACCTCTCCCACTGGGCGGCAGCGGAGCTCTCCCACCAGGCGGCGGCGGACCCCTCCCACCGGACAGCAGCGAACCTCTCCTACCGGGCGGCGGCGGCCCCCCCCCCCCCCCCCCCCGCTGGGTGGCGGCTGACCCAGCTTGCTGCGTGCGCGGCCCACCTGCCGACGGCGGCGACCGGCAGGGGCGCGTCTCGGTCGTCCAGCAGCATCTGGAGCGTGAGGTCGCCGCAGTACTCCATCTCGACGGTGGAGAAGGCGGCGTTCAGGCCGTACACGCCGAGCACGGCCAGCACGTGCGGGTGGCGCAGCCGGCGCGCCAGCAGCTCGCCGGCGGAAGGCTGCCTACCGCGGAGCACCTTCACCGCCACTGCCCGGTCTGGCGGCCGAAGGGGCGTGGTCACGGCTACGGTGGTGTGCAGGAGCGAAACCATCGTCAGCACCGCGGCGCGACCTGGCGGGAACGCGAAAATAGGAAGCATGTGGGTGTCTGTTCTGCAGGACGGTGTGCAATTGTGTGTCGGTGGAGGCCAGCTAAAAATGTTTGCGTCGTGGCGTCGCAATGACCTTGCGACTATCGCTGCGTGATGTTGGAAATGACACCATTTCAACTTATCATTAAAAACAATAGGGGAAACCTTTTGCCCTCTAACCATCAAATAGCCAAAGTGATATAAACTCATGGCTGAACATACCGTTCGAAGTACCCTCACTACTTAGCATCCGTTCCAAACCCATGACCTGCCAGTGTAACAGACAAGGTCGCATGACTGGGTTACCTTTGCGCTTGCCGAGCACAACGGTGCCAAACGAACCGCGCCCGAGCACAGGAGCCTCGGGGTGTCCGTCCAAGCCATTCTCCTCAACCTCCCCTCTCTCTGGCGTGTCGAACTTGAGGCCCGGAGACGGCGGCAGGAGCTCGCCGGTCGGCCGGGCCGCGTCGGCGCTGGGCGGCGGCGGCGGCGGCGGCGGTGGGACGGCGTAGGTGACGCCGAGGGCGTCCCCCTGCGGCAGCGCTGGCGGCAGCTCCTCCGGTGGCGAGCCAGGGGTGACCAGCAGTCGAGGCTGCGCGAGCACCGGTCTGCGGATGGGGACAGCGGGCAGCGCGGCGGCGCGATGGGGGCGACATCTGTGCGCAGACATGTCCGTGAAGTCAGCAATTTATTCAGCGATTTTGACATTGCGCAGAGGGGCCTTACGACAGGTCGCTCGTCCTTACGGCTGTCGCCAGACCGCGTCGGATGTCTGCCTGCTGTCAAATTGGCTTGCATTGGCGCCTGGGACACCAGATGGCATACACTTAGAAAACAATGCCGATGTTTGGAAACGCTGGCGGCTGCTGCACAGCTTCGCTTGTAAGAAAACCGAAGACGAAAAGTACGCCCTTGAAATGCACATGCTACGATGATAAAATGTCTCCTGGTGCAGTTCTGCATTCTGGCTAGCTTACAGCTACCAGTATGCGTCCAAGTTGGATTCACATTGTCGAGGGAACGGAACTTGCTGTACTGCTTGTGATTATTTACTTTCAGTGGGTACGACAACCGGAGCGAATGGCTTGTGTGAATGCTGCAGAACTCATAGGGCGGTTGTTTTGAGACTTAATGCAACTGGTAATTGCATACAGCACACGGGACTCACATTGAATGATCCCAGAGGCAGCCTGGCGGGGCTGGATCGTGGGGAGCTGCAGGTGCCTGGCAATGGAATGTTGAGTCTCCGGTACGATCGATCCGGTTGGTGACTCACCGTCGCCGGGGCGGGTCGGCCCCCAGTCCGGAGCGGAACAGAAGCGCCGCCGGTGACACCGTCGACCCCCGGCGCTCCCGCCGGCCGGGGTCAGTGACCCCGAGGACGGGTGTCGCGCTTCCCGCCGACAACGGGGTCACCGGGGTCAGAGGCGGCACGTGAAGAGAGCTGCGCCGAACCGCGCAACCGGCCGCCCGGCAACAGGGCGACGCCGAGGTGCCGCCGGTCGGGGTCAGTGACCTCGACCGGCAGGTCATCTGCAGCAGGTGCCTGGCACGCGACATGACGTCGCCCGGGTGTCACGGCCGTCTCGGTGTCACTGTGCGAGGTTGTCACCAGTGTAAGAGGTCACATGGCACTGACCGCGGAAATCCACGAACGCGTTTGTTTGCCGTCTCTGATGGTGCACGACTGTAACGCTTGTGGAACACCACATCAGAACGTCCCGCTGCTATCACTGCGGCCCGGAAAGAACCAAACCTCTACCGCTGGCACCTGTGAGAAGAGTGAGGGAAAGTGAAGGAAAGTGAGGGAAACTCTCCACCTCACCCTGGGGCATGCAACACCCGTCCTTGACCCTGGGACCCAGGGGCGAGCCAAGCTCAAGTGGAAACGTAAGTCATTATTCGTGTCCGCTGGTGGTGCTTCCAGAGGCTGAATCTTCGCCGCCCTGAGCGATGTAACCCGTTAATTTCAAACAGACGCAGTGTAAACATAGCGCCTGTCGCAAAAACACCGGCCTACGGCCCTCCTGCAGGAATGTGATCTCCGTCCGGGCTCCCCATGCGGAGGGCAGTGGCGACCCAATGCACCTCTTCGACCCTTTTTATCCTCGACGTCAACGGGATACCCACATTTAGCGCTGGGCTCCCTCGCCTGTCGCCGGTTACACGCTCCTCCCGCACACGGCTGCCTGGGCGCGCCTCTGCGCGCGGCCATGGTCAGCTGACTGCGCCGCGCCGGCCGCTGCTGCTGCCGCCCCTCCCCGCTGCCGGGACGCAGCCGCTCTGTGGGCACCCGGCGTCTGTGGCGTGGTGGGTGAGCGGTGGCGTGCAGGTAAGTAGAAGAGCAGACATCCTTGGGGTGAATCCGTGGCGCCGATATTGCCGAACTTTATTCGTGGTGTTACTGTGCCAAGGACTGAAAATGCAAGCGGCTGGTTGTAAGTACATTATGTTTGTATTTACACATATGAGAAGGTAAGGGGAAAGACGCAAATGGGACCTGTTTGTAAGCTCATGGACTTAACCTTGAAAACTGGAAGACTTCACGTGCTCAAAGATCGATCTTGGACCAGGATCTGTCTTTGCGGATACGTAAGATGAATGCAGCGGTATTCAAAGTCCGTCTTCCATCCCTTTAGCTGACGTGTGAGCAGATGCCCGCCTGGCCCTTTGCATCGATGCGTTTTCACGTATGTGGGTTACCGGGTACCTACCCACCCGGTCTCGAGCGTGTTATTTCTTCAAATTGCTTACAGTCATGACATTCGGTTATCAAGCGAGGGTTGTATCGTTTTTGTCCTACAGAGGCACAACAGATAGACTATAAAGACGCCAACATTGATCAGTCCACTTCACTTGCTCAAATGCGTCTCGGTCCTCTTTCCGTGGCCGTTCCGTTCCACGGCGGCGTTCCGTGGTGCCGACACATCCACATGGCCGATTAACTCACCGCTGCGTCGCCCTCCCCAGCCAGGCCCGCCTCAGCCATGGATCCCCGCACGGCCGGCCGTGTGCTGTCACCGCTGCTGCTGCCGCTGCTAGTGCTGCTGCTGACCTCACCGGTCCACACTGAGTCCCCGGCCAAGTCTACCGGTGCAGCGACTCCAGCAGCGGACCCAGGAGCGGACCCGGCAGACCCAGCAGACCCGGTGGACCCGGTGGACCCAGCTCGCTGTCGGCTCTACGGTCCGGGTCTCCGACCCGACGAGGTGGTCCTGCCGGCGCGCTATTTCATCATACAGACCGTCGACAGCGGCGGCAGCGAGTGAGTGGCGACGGGCGGCACTGTCACCGCGGGGGTCACACACAGCGTCACAGAGCCGGTCTCCCGCACTGCTCTGGGCACGACTGAGGCTCCTGTCACGTCCACGGGCAGCTCACTGTCTCGGGCCCATAGGACAGCTGGAACGACCCTGAGGCGTTATCGGAGAGGCGTGGTCATCCGCGGCGTCAAGCTGCCAGCCGCCCTGGTGCCCTGCGCTGGACAGCGCCATCTGGTGTTTAAACAGCCTTCTTTCGCCTCCTTTTGGCGATCAGCACTGGTTTAGGCAAAGAACAGTCCTTGTGGGACGCCAGTGCCGCCGTCCCTGCTGTTATTGTTGGGCTAGCCGGTATCGTACTCCCCGCACGACCCTCAAGTGACCGTAGTCCGTGGTCCTTAAAGAGGTAGTTCTGAGAAATACTCTCTCTCTCTCGCTGAACTGGCTTCCGCGAATGAAAGCCATGTCTGTGGTGCTGGGCGGCTTTGGGCGCCCCGCTAACAATTTCTCCATTGAGTAGCTCTGGGTACCACGTGGTTGGTCTCATGTTCGCTGTGTGGCTCTAGGAACCACATGTCTACTGTGTAGCTGTGGGTACCCCGACTGCCCAATGTCCGCTGCATAGCTCTGAGCATCCTGACGGTCCAGTGTCCACCGTGTAGCTCTGAGCATCCTGACGGTCCAATGTCCACTGTGTAGCTCTGAGCATCCTGACAGCCCAATGTCCACTGTGTAGCTCTGAGCATCCTGACGGTCCAATGTCAGCCGTATATCTCTGAGCATCCTGATGGTCGAACGTCCGCTGTGTAGCTCTGAGCACCCTGCCAGTTTAATGTCCGCTGTGTAGCTCTGAGCACCCTGCCAGTCTAATATCCGCTGTGTAGCTCTGAGCACCCTGGCGGCCCAATGTCCGCTGTATATCTTTGAGCATCCTGACGGTTCAATGTCCGCCGCGTCGTTCTGAGCATCCTGACAGTCCAATGTCCACTATGTGGCCCGGAGCATCATGACAGTACAATGCCCGTTGTGTAGCCCGTAACATCTTGACGGTCCAATGTCTGTTGTGTGGCTCTGAACATCCTGACAGTCCAATGCTCGCTGTGGAGCTCTGAGCATCCTGGCGGTGCCATATCCGTCGTGTGGCTCTGAGCATTCTGACAGTGCAGTGTCCGCTGTGCAGATCTGAGCATGCTGACAATCCAATGGCCGCTGTGTATCTCCGCGTACTTTGGTGTCCCCATCTCCGTCCTTTGCGCCTCTCCATACTCCAATGACCTCATGTCTTCATGGTGGGGAGGGGGGGGGGGGGGGTTACGTGACGCATCACGGAGGTACCATGCCGGCGCAATGCATCGGGACGTCCTCCTGTGCCCTGCTGAGCGGAGCGCCAGCCTCACCCGACTGCGCCCTCTGTTCAGGCTGAGGACGTCACCGCGGGAGCAGTTCGAGGTGTCACTCACCGGCGAGTCGCCACGTGGCGCCTGCCACGTAAACATGCAGGTGCTGGACCGGCACGACGGCGCGCTGATCGTGCGCTACCGCGTGTTCGTCACGTGCCGCAACGCCGTGCTCCGGGTCCTCTATAGAGGGCAGCACGTGGCCGACAGCCCCTACAAAGTGCCAGGTGAGAAGGCGCGCGGCTGGAAATACCCGAGAGGTGCAGCTTGCTACGGCATGGAGCCGCAGAGCCTGAGTTGAACTGTTTGGCAGATTTCACATTTTTGTCGTGTTCTGTCTCTCCCTGTATCACGTCCTTTTCTCGGACCTTTCCGCGCAACTTCGAACGAAACCAATGTTCGAGCCGCGTATATTGAGTCTCCGCGGTGGTTGATACGCCGTTTTTGGGAAAAACATCACCAACGATGGGATTGCATCTAACGTTGCTGATTTTGCAACCCCATGATGCACATGTTCGTCAGCTGTCCAAAAAGCGACGTTGCGTGGTACACGTAAATAATAGGGCATGCAGTGAGGCGTGTAGCATATTGGGTAGCGATATCCGGAGATAATATCTACGGCACCGCCTGGATCCAGCATGTCAGTCTAGGGAGCCCCCGACAAGAGCCTAAAATCGCGGCAACAGCCGCTCGTGCAGCCACCTCGGCAAGATATTGCACTTTCGCGTGCCTCACCGCACCGAGACGTCACGCCAGACGGCGTACGACGCCTGCCACCCGGCTCGGTCCTTGTCAAGGCAGGCACCGAAGCGTCGGCTTCTTGGTCGGCCTCTCTGGTGGAATGAGCTCAGGCTGCCTGCCGCTGCGCACTGAAGGAATGAACTCAGACTGCCTGCCGCGACACATCGAAGAAATGAGCCCAGGCTGTCACGCGGCACACCGAAAGAATCAGCCCAGACACAGCAAAGGAATGAGCTTATACTGCCTGCCGCGGCACACCAAAGGAATGAGCTCAGACTGTCGCCGTGACACACCAAAGGAATGAGCTCAGACTGCCGCCGCAGCGCACTGAAGGAATCAGCTCAGACTGCCTGCCGCGCACACCAAAGAAATGAGCTCAGACTGCCGCCGCGGCGCATTGAAGGAATGACCTCAGTCTGTCACCGCGGCACATCGAAGGAATGAGCTCAGACTGTCGCCCAGCGCACCAAACGGATGCGCTCAGACTGCCTGCAGCGGCACACCGAAGGAATGAGCTCAGACTGCCTGCTGCGGCAGACCGAAAAAATGAGCTAACTGTCGCCGCGACACACCGAAGGAATGAGCTCAGACTGTCGCCGCAGCATACCGAAGGAATCAACTCAGACTGCCTGCCGCGGCTCACCGAAGGAATGAGCATAGACTGCTGGCTACGACGCACCGCACTCACCCCGCGTGGTGCCGGAATAAGGCGTTGTATTTGGGTTTTGACTCCAATTCCGCCGTAAAAGGGTGGACCCCAATGCGGAACCGATTCCGGCAGATGCGACATCTGAGGCCCGGCGCATCAATTCTCTGCGTCCCGGCAGATCCGATCTATGCGGCCCGGCAGATTCGATCTCTGCGATCTGGCAGATCCGATCTCTGCGGCCGGGCAGATCCAATCCCTCCGGCCGGGCAGATCCGATCTCTCCGGCCCGGCAGATCCGGTCTCCGCGACCCGGCAGGTCGGATCTCTGCCGCCCGGCAGATCCGATCTCTGCGGCCGGGCAGATCCGATCTCTGCCGCCCGGCAGATCCGAACTCTGCGGCGCATTGTCGGGAAATTGACTTCCTACTGGAAAGCGATGAATACGTTGTATAGAAATGCCACTCTACGCTTGATGTTCTCTCAAAGCTCACGACAGCTATGTATCAACGCGTCGTTATTTCCGTACTCGGTGTAAGAAAGGTACGCTGGAAGGGGTTGGCTCGTGCTCTGCTCTACTAACGAGCAAGGTTTGTTGCTGCCACCACCTGCCGTTACACATACCCTGTAACTTCTACAAATGGCAGGCGAAACAGACCGGGGCTCAGAGAACCGGACGGTTGCGCATGTTTGTCGCACGGCACAAAATTGTTTTCCACCTCCTCTGCATTTCTTCCCTCTGTGTGGTGTTACTGTGCCTGGTCTGCAGAAACCTTCATGAAGGAAGGTTTTACTTGGCAGAACCTTGATGTTGTTGTGCTGGCTACTGGTGTGAAAGAGAACTTTCGTAAATATCTTCTTGTTGCTGTTGTTTGTTGACGGTATATCATACACTTTCTGCTTTGTCGGACACTTTATCGTGGTTGCGCAAAGGTGTCCGCTAGTAATAAGACTGTTTCTTTTGCTTTTCTTACTTTCCCATTGGTTTACTCAATACGTTGTGCATTATTTGCGTACTAATTTAATTATGGACTTACGAGAAGGCAGGCTTCTGACACCGTTCCGTTTGCAGTAAGCTGGCAGCACGCGAATATTTGCCAGATGGTTATATGTGTTGTCTACATTGTTTTCATTGCTGACTCTGGGCAATAGCCAAACGGTGCCTTCATTCCGAACCACCATCGCTCGAAACCCATCGTGTGAAACCATTATGGGGGGTTCCGGGCAGTACTGGAACAGCGATGCAATGGCTCACAGGTTAAGCGATTATAATTCCTCCTAGTTCCTCATACATTAGGATCCCCAAGGATCCTACATTTGAAGGAATCGACCGCGCAAGGACGCCGTCGCAATAGTGTTGATTCTGTCTTAGTTTCCCGGCTGCCTTCGAAATCATCCACAACTTTGCCAAACTCCGCCAGGTCCTGGTGACAGTGCTTCACGGAACCTGTGAGGTCAGTCTCGCCCGGAGCTAGCTAGGGCGGATGCCGTTCTGCACCAGACTAGCATTTGAAATCGCCTTGCCTGGAGCTCGGCTTGTTTTGGTGCTTTGAAGGCAGGTCGAGGCAATTCATGCGGCTGCTCAGCGTTCAGGAGATGCATGTGAATGAGCCCGTTGGTCTGATGCACACCTGCTGTGGTTTCGGCGGCTGGCTCCGGCTCGCGGCACTGATAAGGATCACCGCTCTTTGTTCCGAGCACGTGTCTTGGCAAGCCAGCTGTGGGGTGTGCCTGATGGCAACCCTCTGCACATGCACTGTTGAAATCGGATGGCGCCAGTCTCGCCGCGTTCAAAGTGACGATGAAGCGAGCATTGCCGGGCCGTTATCTGTTAGCGAGAATGGTCCCGAGAACGTGGGAGACAGAGGACGACAAAGTTTCCACTTCAGTCTCGAACACGACAACTTGACAACTTTCTCGCGATGCTGGGTTTATATCAGCTGCATCAAGACAGCCTTAGGGAATTGCTACTTGTGTGTGCACTTCAAATTAATTGGGGCACTCACGTCTGTAAGTGTCATCCTGCTCAAATAGGAGGATCTGAACACGTTTTCAACTATTCTTGAGGACCCTGTCAGAGATAATGACTCGTGTCAGCGAAGACTTGGTTCAAATTTCATGCAACTTAAGGGATGGCAGCGGAACAAAAAGACGTTCTCATGTGATTAAGGCGTCGCTTTACATGGTCTGAATGCAGTCTGTATTCTCTTGGGAGCAGTGCTCAGGATACTCAAAGTACCAAACGAACTCAAAGATACTTAATGTACCAGTGCTCGGGGTCATGCTATATTAAAACGGACTCTCCCACGTCGAATTGCTTCCCATGGTAGCACCAGAAGCTGAACCGCCGGCCGCTGTGTCAGGGGAGCTGGTCAGCTATGAAGTGCGGTGACCGAGCACCGGCAGAGACTGCCATACGCCCCTCGCTCGGGCGACTAACACGTGGAAATGGCTTGCACATCACGTGCCCCTTATCCAGGGGGCGGATACTTCATGTATCCGAGGGAGCGATGCGCTCCAACTAGGAAAAAGTTGCCATTACGACGTTGGGTGGTGGTAAAGCATGAATCTAAAGGCGCTCCTTACCCCTGCCGCCAGCCCCGTTCAGCTTCGGTGGGCTCGAGCTCCCCTGCACGCACCGCCACGTGGTTGGAGCATTACGCAATCTATACACCGCGCAAATCACGCTGTGTTTCAGTGTTGTCTTTGCATTTTAAATGGGCTTCATATCAGCCATGCATGCCACTGTACCTATTACTCTGCATCCATTCCTCTGCTCAATCATGGCTAGCTACTATATTTTGTGCGTGTGAATTGGGTTCTTGCTTTGCGTGACGTCGTACGTGCGAGACAGTTTCCAATGGCTTATGCCACTGATCTGGCGCGTAAAGGACGTTGTCTTTCGTGGCGGTCGTGAATTGTGGCAGTTCCCTTGCACACCAGTATTTGTTTTACATGCGCACTATTTCCTTCGCATTATTGCTGCCGCACTGGCCGCAACACCTGGTGGGTATTTTTTAACTGTGTAAATCAAGCAGCAGCATGTGGTTCGTAGCAGCACGGCACAATGCCGATGAATGAGGCGTGGAATACCGCGCGAAGTCAGGATGTTCATAGTAAAAAATTATCACGATGCAATGCTCTGCGATCATATGTTGTGCGCCGAGTTACGAGCGTTGTGAGTAAGTGCGGCGTTTTATTGTTCGTTTTCTGCCGCCACGCTATACTGGGGAGTATTTTCAGTAACATCGTTGCAAGTACATAAAACTTTTGTGTGTTTGAGGTTGACCTGATTTGTCACTGTGTATGCTGTAATGCGCTTGACGTTGTGTGTTTCTGTCTACATTTGTATGCCCATTATGTGGTTTTTCAGATTTGTTCTACGTTTTCATGCCAGTAATATCGTATGTTTACATTTGTCTGCGCCTGGCTTCGTGCGTTGCTTGCACTGTTGTGGGAGCTGTTGTACGTGCCTTCTTCAAGCTCACGTTTTAACAACATACGTTTTGAACAACATACGGTTCCATGCACGCAGCCTTGCTTGGTGTGTGCGTGCGTGCATGCATGTATGTACACCTCCCCCTACTAATAAAACCTAATTAAAACTGTCAAGAACACGGGGTGAACGGATTCAAACACCGTACATGAGGCACCAAATACAGCTAAAGTTTCGGCGGGTTTTGTGACCGGGCACCGCGTAAGCTCAGTTAGACCCCGGGACCCAGCGTGCCATTCAGGTGACTGCGCCTGCCACGAGGCAGCCGCGTGTCAGCACGTGACCCGATTTCTCATAAAGCGGCAGCACTGATGCGCGAGTGCCCATGTTTGTCACGGGACGTGCGGTGGTCGCGGCCTGTCGATCGGGGCCGGGGTGTGTCGGCGACGCAGCGCCATCCCAGGAAACGTTCATTAGAGGCGGCCTGGGCGCGGACGAGACCGCTGTCGTTGTTTCGGTGCCGCCCGTCTGGTGACGTCGAGTCGGCGGCGTCCGTCCGGGATCACTGGGTCTGGTGCGATCACGCGCGGCGCGCGGCGGCACGCTCTGGGCGGCGCTGGGGTGATATATGATGTCTGGTGGGCTGGACTGCGGCGTTGGAGGATGTCTGGTGAGGGGGGGGGGGGGGCTGTGACGTTGCGTGCTGTCTGGTGGCTGTGGACTTGTGTGATGTCTGGCGAGGAGGCCTGTGACGTGTGGTGTCTGGCGAGGAGGCCTGTGACGTTATGTGGCGTCTGGTGAGCAGGCCGTGCCTGTTTGTGACGGATGTCGCGGGCAAGTCCAGCGTGACGGTATGTGGCGTGTGTGACTGTGATGCATTTCGCCGCCAGGTTTGTGATAATGGTATATGTGATGGCATGTGTCATCGCCATGAGTCGTCGCCAGGGTCGCTTTGGTCGTTCATGTTGTGTGGGACGGCGTGTAACGTGAAACAGCATACAGCGCGTCACAGCACACAACGAATGACGCCACCTGGAACCTGCGCGGCGGCGTGTGGCTTGCGTTGTCGCCAATGCCGCTGGGACGCTATGTGGCGCTTGTGATGATGTGTGACGTGCCACCGCCAGATCGCTGTGACGTGATGTGACTGGTGTGCCAGTATGTGACTTGCAGGGCCGCTATAGCCTGTCGGGGTCAACGTAACGATATGTGACGCATGTCATGGTGCGTGGCACACTACCGTCAGGGCACCCGCCACAGCCGTAGCGTGCGCGTCACAATGTGACGCATGCCTTCGCCGGGGCATGCGACGGAATGTGCCGCTGGGTGTGTGTGCCGCGCACGTCACGGTGTGTGACCTGTGTGCCGCTGGGGCCGCATGGCAACGTGCCATGTGTGACGGCCTGTGACGCGCGTTTGGCCGCCAGGTCCCGTGTACGCCGAGGAGTGTGACTGTCCGCTGGAGTCGCTGGACGACTGGCTGACGGCGGCCGCCTGTCCGGCCAGCTATCGCCAAATCGACCGCGACCTGGAGAAGTACCCGACGGTGGACTTCGACGGCGTGCTCTCGGCCGCCACGCAGAGGTTCTCACATGCTGGCAGCCAGAGCTTCTGCAATTACGCCGTCAAGGATAACCAGGTGTGAAGACGGTTGAGCCTGGGCGACGGGTGGGGCTGTTTGTTGCCGTTCGACGGAGGCATTTGTTTGAGCGCGTATCGTGATTCTAGGAGCTGTTTTGACGGCCCTTAACCATTGAACGCCGTCCCCGGCATTACCATGCAAATGAGATGCGCTGCGAGCATACATTAACGTTGTGAGTGGTTAAGCTTCCCCCGTGTTGCGAATTTGCAGATCGCTGCAGAAGTAGTGTGTAAGCTTTTGCGAGGGTCTGAAGGGCCGCACTCCGGGTAACTCGTTAGGTATTACCTTACGCCGTGACAAAGACACCTATCCATCGCCACCGGCCTGTGCGCTCAGAAACAGCCTCGACGCTCAGAAACGGCCGCTCCACCTTTCCCTGCTGCCCTCCACCGCGTGCCCTAACAACCACCACCCGCCCTCGCAGGTGTACCGGCGCTGCTACGGCAAGTACGTGGGCTTCAACATCTTCATGGACGCGATTTTGCTGTCGCTGGCGCGGAAGGCGCGCCTGCCGGACATGGAGCTGCTGGTGAACCTGGGCGACTGGCCCCTGGTGAAGAGTGCGGAGCCGCCTTCGCTGCCCATGTTCAGCTGGTGCGGCTCGACCGAGACGGACGACATTGTGATGCCAACTTACGAGCTGACCGAGGCTTCCGTCGAGTGCATGGGAAGGTGAGGGGACGGGGCGGAGCGAGGGGGTGGGGGTTGAACGTACCATTGCCGCACCACACGGCACCAGCATCGCGTGGAAGAAAAGGGTAGACACCGATCAGAGATCATGTTTCTTTGAAGGTTTGCCGAAGTTTTTCCCGGTGGCCGTGGGTGGCTTCCGTGGCGTTCCCAAATAACGAGAACGCACACCAGCGGAAAACGGTAGCACATAACACTCTGAAGGATCCCAAGTAACAAGAGTACACACTAGCGGAAAACGGTAGCACGTGACATTTGAGGAAGCTAGGTACCGCACCACCGGTTAGCCCCGTCGACTCTATCAAGAGGAACCGCGGTGATGTGTCTCGGTATTGTTGATCGAGGGGGGGGGGGGTCGAGGCAGCTCTGTACTCAGATGCTGTTTCCGAGAAACGGAGCTCAGGTCTGCGCGGTAACACCAGCAGCCCAGCCGCAGGAGTTCGTGGGCGCTCATCGGCGCCGAAGCGCCGTCTGCAGCTAGGAGCGGCGGGGAGAGCAGCTCTCGGCGGCGCGGCTGACGCCAGTTACCATTTCTGCTGGTTTTGTTACACATGTTTAGGCCTGTAATGATGGTCTAGGAATGGTTTTAGGGCCTGATTCAGCAAAAAGGGGAAATTGTTTTGAATCGCACGGTGAGTTATGTCATCATCAAATCAATAGATCTGACCAATTGATTACTAGAGATGTGCCATAAATCTCACGCAGGCAGTGTGATTGGATGGGATTTTCAGTAAAAACACCTCAAATGACGTGAGTTTTTTTCGTGCTACGTTCACTGCCTTTGTTCAGTGTTCAGCTCGTATTTTTGTGATAGAGAAACATGAGCCGCGTTTCATGCAAAATTTTCCCTTGTAGTCCTAGCAAATGGCGGTGTGCGCCGCAGTTGCACACCCATCTTATCATTATAAATTTGTCCAAAATGTTGACAAACATGATTCTTTTGTTAGCATTAAGGTGCATTGTGCAATTGCCAAATCGGTAACAAATTGGGGCGTGGCCATCTTTTCCCCCGTGACATACGTTGAGTAATTTAAAATCACAGTGCGTCTGCATGACAAACGTCATGTCTTGCGCGTACCAACGATTTGGCCCTCTGTAAGCGATGTTTCCCGTTCTCTGTGTATCACGAGCAGACCTTTTTTGTTTTTGTTGCGCGCTATGTGCGGGGGTTTTCATTGTGTGTGGAACTAGGGAGGACAACTTTTAAGTGGCGTAGGATAGTCTAGGGAGGTGAAGGCGAGAGTTGAGTGTGGGGCAAACTGAGAGTAAGAATTTTGAGCTAGGTCATGCAAATGTATTGTGTATAAATTCACAGCACCCCTTTCAGTTTTGGCAAATGTTTGAGTACACCGTGCTGTTTTTTCACTATGTGACGTCATCATTTCATTCCGCTTCGCCTCCGCTGAGAGCAATTTTTGTTTTTCCGTTTATATTTCGGGAGACTGCACCACTTTCACGCCAAAAGCACCACAAAATCCGCAACTTTCCAAACTGGTTCCGCTCCCAGCATGGTTTACGGGCAATATTGGATAAAAGTCCAAACTGGATGTAAATTCCTTCCTATAACATCACAGTTGGCAGCAGATAGAGATGGAATGAGAGACGGCTGTGTCGTGTTTTACGACCCGCTGATCATGCGGACATGCCGCCCAAAAATGCCGGACGTGCCGTCTTGAAAACGCACGGAAGATGTTCTGAAGGAACATGTCACGGAAGCTGCTCAGCCGTCTGGTGTAGGGTAGAGGCTTGGCTTACCTTACACAGGATACCAAGGGTAGGAAAGTGGCGCGATGAGAAACGACATAGGCGCATTACTGCAGCTTCAGAATCACCTTTACATAATATTGGTCTTCGCTTCGTCGTTCAGTTTCTGGGTACTGTGTGTTTCATGATAACAAAGTCTTCGCTTGTTTTCATAAATGTTTGCATTGACACATCAGTGGACGTATTTCCAGTGTCAATTACCTCGTTGCACATTTAAGCAAGATTTCGAGCTTTGGTGGATCCCTGGGCGTACGAGATAGCGCACGCGGTAATTCATTAAGTTTGTTTGAGGTACTAGATTAAATGCTCTCATCGTATTCGTAGGTCGCCTGCCAGCTGTTCGCTTAATTACAGTTCATTGTAGTGTCCTGTTTAGCAGCCCAAGTTTCAGAGTGACCTAATTAGATCATGTTGCTGCTGGATCAGTACACATCCCCGCAAGGAACCCCGTTTGTCACCGCCCTGTTATTCGCCTTCGATTGGGGCCTCTGAGCTGGGGCCCTTCTCGCCCGGTGGTCGGAATGCGAGCGGCACTACGTGGCCTCTCCTTGGCCACCCATCGCTCTTCGATCGGCAGCGTGCGAGCAGGAGCCCCCAGCCTCAGTTCGGTGTAGCGTGCTGAGTGGGCGGAAAAGTTTGACTTTTTTAAACGAGGGTTATAAACAGCGGCTCCGCAGGAGTGAAAATCCTCCATCAAACTGTGGCGGTTATATTTCAAGCGTGATATTTCCCTCTCGTTAAAAGTTGCCCCAGTTCAGAGGTAGCACGGGTCTACTCCGGGACTGACAGAGCACACGGCGCTCTCCCGCCCGAGCCGCCGGCGGCTGAGCCCGCGATCTTCCCGCAACCTCCGCCCTCCGCCCGGCCGACGTCCGTGACCCCCTCGCGACCTCTGACCGCCGCCCGGTCGACGTCCGTGACCCCCCGCGACCTCTGACCGCCGCCCGGCCGACGTCCGTGACCCCCCGCGACCTCTGACCGCCGCCCGCCCCGCGCCCGTGACCCTCCCAGGACCTCTGACCGCCGCCCACCCGGCGTCCGTGACCGGACCGTGGCGGCCACTGTCGCCAGCCCGGTGCGAGCCCAATGAGGCCTATTGGCGGCGCCGCGGGCGGCAGCCGGTTGGCAGACCGGCGACGACGCACGTCCGCCGCCGTCGCGGCGCGTAGGCGCCCCGTGGCTTCTTTCCTTGCCGGTGACGTCATTGGAGCTGAGTGGCGCCGACGTCAGGTGCAGCCAGCCGGGGAGTCCCGTCTGAGGGCTCTTACCCTCCGGCGTCGAATCGAATGTCGCCACAGCCAGCGCGGCGCCCCCCCCCCCCCCGAAGCTGTTAACGGCGGCTGAGGCGTACCTTGAAAAGGTGCCTTGGTACCTCAAGGTACCTTGAGACACGCTTTCCGGCGAGTTGAGTGCCAGAGTGATACGGTTAGAGAGTAAAAAAGATACAATCATGCGGCTTGCTGGAAATGACTATTACCGACCAGCGACTTGAGGTCTGTTAATGATGATACCTGCATTCTCACTGGTTTAAGTCTGTGAAAACACGTCGTGGAGACTCCAGAAGCAATGGGAAGGAGCCGGGGAGCTACATGGCTCAGTCAAAAAGCGTAAAACTTCGGTGAAGAAACCACATATAATGCCATTGAAAAAGACAATATCAGAGACGGGGCCTAACACCTTGTGCGGTAAGGTGATTTTGAAAAGGCGATTGCCCTCAGCTTGCATTGATCCCACGCACTCTACCACAACGCCCAGAAGGCTAATACCTTGACAACGCGCCAGACGCAGCGCAGGGAAATGCAGTAGCTGCACGCTATAGCCAGGCTCTGCGCTACCGGAGCGTGGCGTTAAGACGCTCAGAGTATGGTCTGAGTGTCACCGTGATGCGAACGAAGTGCGACGGGAATAAGGCAAGACCGGAATGTGGCCGGAGAATAACTTAAGTGTGGTCGGAGCATTGGCGGAGTGCGGTCGGAATGTGGTGTACGTGCAGCTCGACTGTGACCGGAGTGTGAGCGGGGTACAGGGGCGCAGCCAGGATTTGCGGCAGAAGGTAGGGGTTGCCATGATTTGCAACATTGTTTTTCTAGCGATTCCCAGCCCCTCAACAGTACCCACACATTGTGAACAGACCGATAGTCCCCGCGCACGCTAATAGATACAGTGCTTGACATGTCGATCAGCTGTCGATGTTGGCTGGCCCTGGTGGCGTAAGCAATTGTCTCCACTGCGCCATTACGCGTTCACTCGGTTCTCCGCTGACCTTGTCACTGAGTTGCGACTGCTGGGCTCGACATGTCCTTGGTAGTCTAAGAGATTTAAATCTTAAATGGTTATCGTGATCACCAGATTACGGAGTTATCATCAGTAACGCTATGGTAAAAACTGTGCTCGAACCGGGGTGGAGAGGGGGAAGGGGGTGCTGAACTCTACGACTCCCTTCCCGCCTGGCTGCGCCGCTTCCTGGGTATGACCGCGAGCGTTTCAGTGTTAGGCCACTTGGATCAGTTTTTGTTTTTTGGATTGGAGCCCTTTCGACCAGAAATGGTCGCGTCAGGGCTATAGAATGAAGGACAATGATAAACGGTGGGGCAGACTTGTATGCGCATGGGGGGGCGGGGGGGGGGCAACCGCTAAGCTTTAACCCGCGATGCGCCCTGGGCACCCAGTCGGGGTTCCCCTTTTCACGGGCGGGTTGTCACGAAGATGCGGGATGAAGCAAGATTGAAATAAGAGAGGCGGATGAGGCCACTTGGGAGGTAGGGAATAGGGATATTAATATTTGTCTTTGGGGTTCACTGCCTGTTGTCCCTCCCCTTGCTCAAAATCGTCCAATCAGCGTCGGGGAGGGCGGCGGTCAATCTAGCGTCTAAGCGTCCCGGGCTTAACAAATGGGCCCGGCAGGTCAGATGTGTGGGTTTGGGGTCAAAGGGCAACGGATTAGCGCCAACGAATTGCCTGCGGGGGCCGTCGGAGAGCCAGAGCTCTGGTAGCATGAAGTTATATTTACACCCTGGACAACCTCCTGGGTGAATTTAGGAAAGCCAGTGACCGTAGCGTGATTGGCGTGTGACCCGGGCGCCGGGCCTGCCGCCGGAGCATGACATCAGCCGCCGCGTTTCAGGGTCACGCTGGACATGCTGTCTGTGCAAAGCCGCGAGCCGGTGCCCTGGCACCAGAAGCGGAACGCCAGCTTCTGGCGGGGTCGCGACTCGCGGCGCGAGCGACTGCGGCTGGTCGAGCTCGCGCGACAGCGGCCAGACCTCATCGACGCCGCGCTCACCCACTTCTTCTTCTTCAAGGCCGAGGAGAAGGAGTACGGCCCCACCCAGCCGCGCGTCTCGTTCTTCGAGTTCTTCCAGGTGAGGCCTCAGCTGCTGGCTGACGGGCGCCGCCGTGTCGCGGGGAGGGATGGCGCTGTCGAGCCTGTCTGCCGGCCACGGGGTGGGATGACTCGCGAGGTGAAGTCACCGTGAACGTGATGCAGCCTCACGGCGTCACGAGGCAAGCGACAGGGATTTTTGGACCTGTGGCGTCTGACCAGAGCGGCATGTCGCTGGTGGGTCTCGCTGGCGTGATAGGTGTACTTATCACCGATGAGATAGCAAGGCTCCGCGGTGACCAGTCCCTGGATCAACGAAATCTGAGGACGAAAAAGTGGGAGACTTGGTATCTGGCTGTTTGTGGTCATTCCTCGTTTCGGATATCTCGGGAGCTGCATACTTATTTGATACGTTGTTTGTGTTGCTCGAATGACAATTTGTAAGCCAACTGCAGCGGGCAAAAAAGCACGTCCTAGCACTGAGTCTAGTCATTTTGAGAGCTTTAGCCGTCGTGTCAAACTCAGGACAGCAATGACACCCTCGAGCTGAGAACGCCTCAACAGCATTGCACTTATTTCCTAGTGGGCATGGAATGGGCTCAGGAATCAATCAAATCTAAAAGCTCAAAGTTGGCCTATTTCCCTCTACTTAGGTAGTCGTAGCAGGAACTGAGTCGAGCTGCTGGAAATCTGTGGACCGCTTCGTATGGAAAAGTGAATGTATTTTTGCCTGCTGAAGATATTCCATTTGGTTCACATTCATGATAAGTAGCCTATGAACTATCCAACCTCCGACGAAACATGGTTGTACCCTCTGGTAACCTTCCAATACGGCTACTGAAGGGGTTTTGTGTAGGGCTGGCACTACCACGGACATATCTTCCCGCGATTGCTTAAAGAGGACAAGGTCACATCCTTTTCAAAGATGGAAACCATCACAACAGTTCCAAAGAAAGCAAACCTTGAATTCGCCGGAAGGCCTGCAGCCTCCGAGACTCATATCAACGTTTGGGAAAGTTTTCCAACAGTTCATTGTCCCTACGTTCTGGCGGAGACACAGCCGCAAACAGATGAGGCCAGTACGGGAATGGAAAAGGAGCTTCAACATCGGCCTGCTTGATCAGATTACGGCACTACTCCTTGGGATGAAAAAGCATGATCAATGCTGTTTGCAGTTTGCATGATTTCAAGAATAGTTTTGACCTCGTTCATCATGCAGCGGTAATACAGAATATGCTTAACATGTGACTTCGTTCTGACCATGCAAAGTAGATATTCTCATTTCTCCAGGATCGAAACCGGGGGGGGTGGGGGGGTAAAGATACCGCATGAAATGACTAGCAGTTGCGTTTTGAAATAACTTGGTGGACCCGCAGGCCCCCTTAGTCTGGTTGCCTTCATAGCCATGATCAGTGGTGGCGCTGTTGAAACATCGTTTGAAATATGCGCAAGGTCTCTCTCACACGCGGTTACCAAGCATGTCCAGTCGACCGAGTAGGGGAGCGTAGCCAGCTGCGGGACCGGACTGATTAGGTCCGTAGATGGGTAGCTGCAGATGTGATAACGCTTTATGCTGATAACTGTCAGACCACGCATTTTGTCACTATCAAGACACCATTGATGCTCCTGGCCGTAATCAGTGGGACCAGCTCACCAACCGCTGCCAGTTTTAACACGCGCCCGGGTGGCCGGTTGAATACCCGTCGCTCGTGTGGGGGTCGATTTGACCCCTGAGATCTCAAGAACCAAGATAGCTAGGCCAAAGCTCACAGGGTGAGTTTGCCTGCATGTGAACTCCCTTCGTTTTAACTTCGGGCTCCTGGGTCATGACCTTAGGGTCTCTTGAGGTTGAACAAGGTCAAACTCCAAATTGATTTCCAAAGTGCCCCCGGACCCCCTCGTGTAACCGCCCTGAACACAGACCCGTTTCAAACTCAAGGTCATTGGTGTTCAGGCGGCCAGAAACAGGGAGATTTCTCGTATTTTGACACTGAGATAGGCGTCAGGGATTACGTTGGGCGGAATGTTCCTGAAAACGGAATCTTGGCACGGATTTTTCAGGTCAGTGACGTACTTTGACCTATAAGTTCATGGAACATGTCTGTTTTCCCTGTCATGAATACATTTGAAATGAGCACCAGAAACCACTTCATAAAGGAAGGCTCGAGTAAAAAAGCAGGTTAGTTTTGGCCTCGGTATGGCCTTGATACCAGATCCTAGGTCAGCGGGATCTGTTTTGCTCCTAACTTTTATTGGTTTATTGCCTAAGAAGCTATTCCAGAAAGGTATTATTTTAGCACTCCGTTGTGGCATTAGATTAAACGATTCACAGAAATGGCCTTCGCCACGGCCTTACTTTGAACTGCCATAGGTCAGCGATGTTACAAGATACAACATTTTTCGTTTACCACAAGATCTGTTATTCCATTACTTACATTTTGCAAAGTTCGACGTGATTACGCCACACCGTCTGAAAATGTTTGATACATATTTGGGGGGAGGGGGTAAATTGACCCCTTAGCGCGTATTAGACTTCTTGGATAGCAATGTCTAGTGAATGGTCTCGGCAAGCACATGTGAATGCAGTTGTGAAAAGCGATTCCAAGGCCTTATATGAATGCCGCGTTACGGACATATTCTGTCCATCTCAAGATGAAGTGATCAATATCGACACCTCGTATGTTCGACCTTTGCTTGAATACTTTGCGGCTGTTTTTCGTGCAGTGTTCATCACCCACCAAGCCAGACAAATGATGGTAGCACGAGCTAGCACGCATTCCTATTATGACAGTGATGTATTCCGCAAATCAAACACCTTGTTAGTTCCCTTACAATCTGAATAGATGGCGTTGTGAATGGCGCTGGCCGACACATGCAGCAGCTGCGGCTGTATGGCGCCATATGCCATCCAACCCGACAGGACGGGCAGGTGCCGCGGGGAATCGAAACCCGCACCTCCGATTACCAGACGCGGGACTCAACCACCGCGCTCCAGGCACCCGTAATAATTGTAACTCATATATCTGTGATAAGCCCATTAGGTTCGAATTCAGGGTTAAGGTAATATGACCGCGTATAGGACCGATGCATGAAATTAATTTCTTAATAGGTCTGCAACATTTTCAGCCCGGATCGGAGTGCGCTCAAAATACGCTGCGCTACTCGGAGTATCAGTTTGAATAAATCCCTTGTGCTGCGGGTTAGAATGCTATGTGACGTGGCTTACTCATCTGTCCAGCACATGTGTGCTCCTGTCGCCAGAAAGAAACAGCACGTTGTTTCTAGCGTCTGCCCGGAGGGCTTGGGGGGGGGGGGGGGGGGCCTTAACGAATTGAGTTGAGCGTACACAAGAAGCAGGGAAATAATTCAATACTTACAACGCGGCTCGGCGCGCGTCATGTCACATTTGTTTATAGCGTGCTCGTGGAAGATGGAGTACGCCATGTGTTTTCAGAAAGGCCACCTTCCAAGTACCACTCACTTGAGGTAGTCTGTATGCATAGCCGCCTTTTCGCTGGAAAGCTGTACTCTGGACGCGGTCGTGACAACGATTGGGAGCAGGCCGGTGCATTGCGGCGCAGCGTAGCGCGCAGGGGCACGGCAGCGGCCGCGCCGCGCGAGTAGCTGGCTGGAAAACCGCCAGCTGAGACAGGAGCGCGCAGGCGCGAGAAGAAAATGTGTTGAAGTGTGCTGCGAAGTCTGGAAGTGATCTAACTCGAAGCCAGTTAACGTTTGTCATCGGGGTTGAGTCATATTATTTTGAGGTTTTAGGAACATTGGCCGATTATTTGGGCCGGTGATATGTTTGTACGTTTGTGCCGTGCCTTTGTGCGTTTGCGTTATAATTATTTTCGGCATTGCTTTTACATTCGGCGCGTTAAGGTTTGGCGACTCAAATGCGTTACGAGACCCACGTCCAAAGATGGTATGTGTGGAAAAATGTTCATGGGACTCCGCAGGCCCCATGATTGCTGCGACACTGCGCGTGCAACGATTATTCCTGAAATCAACGCCATGAGGTCTTTGGAAAGGCGTTGTCACCGGATATGTCTTACACACATCTCGTTCTACTGATCTCGGATGGTAAATGACAACCTGGCGTGAGATTAAGGTGCGCCAAATGCAGATCTACATTTGTGTCTTATTTTCACGGTAAAACGAATCGTCCAGACCATCACCGAAACCCAGACGTATTGTGAACGTAAGAGGGGTCTGGCAAGCTTCAGACAGTGTTTTTGTTTTCTGCCCAGAACTGCGTTTACGGTAAAGCCGGTGATGTGCTGGTGCCTCGAACGATCCGAGCGAATCTGGGGACGATCGTGACGCCCAGGGATGATCAGTGTTCGCACATTGGCGTTTCAGTGCGTTCAAGATAGTCGGGGGTCATGGCCACTATCAAGGGGAGAATTTACAACTGAGGTTTTCTGGAGACGGAGGTCGAGATGCCTGGTGGATGGTGAAACCGCCATTTAAAGGCTTACAGGCATAATATTGATTAACACACGTGTGAGGTGTGTGGAAACTTTCTGGCGTCAGGCTTGGGTAGGTACAACCACCACAGCAATGACGTCCCCTCGCGCTCCAGTGCGTCTTATTTCTCGGGGTTAACTCTAAAACCTTGAATTGTAGCGCTGCACAAAGCTGTTGTGCGGGACGGTCCTGACCCGGGCGCATGCCCTCGGCAGCAGACGGGTCAGAGGGCTGGAGGGATTGATGGCCGGCTATTTCATTTGACGGTTTGGCAGTGAAGCCTGTCGGGAATCGAAGTGAGCGGAAGAGGCTGCCGTGATGTCGGTGCTGATTGCAAGTCACGCGAGAGGGTGGTAGTATACATCGCCTTTTGGCTTTGATTCGGGGAGATACGAAAAAACGAAGGAATCGGTAACGGCATTTGATTTGCTACGTTTAGTCCTAACCTTTTGACTGGATACATTTATGGGATCAGCGCCCACGCTAAGTGGGTGCTTGTTGCGCGAACTCTGAAACCACCATCCGATGCGATGAGGGCTATAACGTGCTGCAAACGCCTGGGACTGCATGCCCTTTCCTTAGGGTAGGATCCTCTGACGTCACCTGATCTTTACCGCAACCGGCCGCTACCGGTCACAGTTGATGCTGACCAGAGCCAAGTTAACGAGCGCGTAATTCGGCTCGAACGCCTTTCGCCACCAGTAGTGAAATCGGAGTGCAGGCGCAGGCTTTGCACGTTTTTGAAGATATTGCAGGCTTTGCGCAGCCCTTGGGAATGCCGGCTTCCACCGTGTAAAGTTATACCGTTGACCCCGGAGCTCCCGATCGAATGGTGGTGTCGGAGCGTACGCAACAAGCACCACTTCAGGGGAATGCTCCACATTTGAAGATGCTAAAGTAAACATCAGATATCATCAAATAAGCTCACTTGTAACTATAAGTGTACTTTAAGCAGAAAAACTACCATAGAGATCACGACTTTTCCGTTAAATAAATTGCTCCGCGATACGTCATTGTTTGATTACGTCATCGTACATTGCCGCTGGCTGAGAGCCGATTGACGGCCGATATGTCTGGCAAGTCATACTCACGAACGCTAAATATATACGACTCGACAATTATATTCTTATTGTCATTGATCGCCGAATGACTAATTGAATAGCAGAATTTGAATGACGTTATTGGGACGTCATGGATGCCTGTATGACCTTGAAATAGTCTCCGAAATATTTTGCACATCTTTGCGGGCGTGTAGCTCACAAACGAGGGGGCTTAGGTCTTGAAAGGAACAGGGCTGTGAACTGCCGTCCAATGATTCTCAAGATGGCTACTTCAGTTCAGAATCCCATACAAATGTGGAACACTCCCTTTGATAAAGACGATGGTCCCAGAAATGTGTCCATTCAGAAGCTGTGGACCAAATCTTTAAAAAATGAAACCTACGAATCCAAACAGATTCCTTTGTTTTATTTCGTGCATCTCGCCGAATTAAAGCTAAAAGTGATGTTGTATGCCTGCCACTGCCTCGCGTGACATGCGAACAGAAGCGACAGCACAGCCGCTTCTTCCGCTGACTTCGACTTCCCGACGGGAAGTGTTTTATAACTCTGCGTGTATTATTTGAAATACGCGGTACACCGCGTATGCCTCATTTTAAAGTTATGCTTTGAGGGCGAGCTTCAATAGCAAGTGAAATTGGACCTTGTTTTTTAATCAGATACAGGCTTTCCGAACTTATTTTAATTAAATGCGTGCGTTCCAAATCACAGCAGCAGTAGAAAAGCAGAAGCCTTCAAACCGTTGCGGTATATATCTCGTAAGCTACCTTTTTGATGAAAACATTTAGCAGTTCTGTCGGAGATGTTCAGACACGCACATGGCTTGCCTCCGTTCGAATACATTGAACTGATAACTGGGATGAACAGAGCTATGTTGAGTCCAGTAAATTCGTATCGTAAGGACGCCGCTTGTAATTTAATGGTGACGCAGTTTGCCGGGCTAAGAATATATAGTGCAAAATTATGCATGAAACCCTCCGGTTGCCAAATCGCTCTTTTTCAGCTGCCAAATGTTGAACGGATTCCTGCTGGCAAAAACCACCGTTCTCCCGAGAGAATGGAATAGCTGATCGCCACTCTAAGCTGAATGAGGCAGCTGAATAGCCAGGAGGCGTCGGCTTGAAAGTGGCGCTGTTGTCGGTCGTTTTCGTCACTCTGTAAAACAGTAGAATGCGATAATAACCCTGCCAAAACTGTACGCAAGTCGTCATGCAAGAGCCGAGATGCGCCGCGAGTTCACCTTTAAGCAGGGAATATTCAGGTGTCGAAATGCTGGGAGCGCTGCAGTTTATCAGGAACCGTGGGCCAAGGACGCCGCTGACGTCAGCCGTACGTGACGACAACTGGCGTTGATTGTGTCAGCGGACTAGTGACAGGGTACTGGATGTGTGATAGCTGAATGTGTGTACCCACACATGAATTGTTTAAGAAAAAGTAGCCTATCTTATGATCAGGGAGTTGCGTTTTCCAT